GCTGCCTTTCTCCCTCCTCACTCTACCACTCTCTCCATATCCCTTCCTATGTTGTTTTCTCTTCTCTAACCCATTTCGCTCCTTTGCATCATCATTATGCTGTCCTCATTCCTCTCTCTCTCTCCGTTCTCCATTTTGTCTCATGCTATCCCTCTGTGTGCCTCTCTCAGCCTGCCTTATTCATCTGCCCAGAAGGTTAAATAATACAGAATCATCGATGGTTTTTTTTAAAAATACTTGCCTCTGAAGCAAACTACCTTCTCACTGATTGCCAGCAAGTCTGAAAACCTTTAGGTAAGTTGAAAGGTATGAGCTGTCCCAGAACATGACCCAGCCAGATCACTGTCTATCTGTGGGAACAATACACAGATCTGAGTGATTGAATACCCAATGATCACCAGATTAATTTGTTAATATTGTGAAATATTATGTTGATTTTGTCTGAGTAGATTATATGGAAACAGAAACTTCACACACTCAAATTCTATGTCCATCATCATTAGGGATGTACAGATTTCTCATCATGGATTGTGAGTGACACTGGGTGAATCCAGCATTTGTAACGCTCCCCAGTTACTCCTATCTTTTATTTATTATTACTTGACTGCATTGCAGGCTCCATTCTCAGCTGGAGTATCATCTGCAGTTCTGGACACCACACTAGAGACAGAGAGTGCAGAAGAGCTTTGCGAATATGGTTTCAGGGTAATAAGTCTCAGTTCTGAATACTGGAGAATGTGGGACTTTTCTCCTTGGACAGGAGAAGGATAAGGGGCTGATTTGATTTGGGTGGGGAGGGTAGAGGAGCTCCAACTTCATGAGGGAGCTGGAGAGAGGAGAGCAGAATAAACTTTTTCCAGCTTGTAAATAGAGGAGTGGGGGGGCACGGGGGTGTGGTGGTGTGGGATCACAAACAGATTTAAAGTGAGAACACAATCCATTTCTCAAAGCATGGAGTTTTGTTCTGGAATGTAGTGCCTGGAAGTACGGTGAAGGCAGGTTCTATTGAGGTGTTCGAGAGAGGCCTTAGATGAATATTTGAACAGAATGGATATGCAAGGTGATAGTGAAATGCAAGGAGATTGTCATTCAGTCATGATGCTCTTTCAAGGAGCCAGTGGAGAAAGAATGGACTGCACTGCCTTCTACTATACCCTGACTATTCTGTGATTCTGTGAGCTGTGGTCCAAACACAGAGCAAGAATTTGGGCTAAAAGTGAAAGGTGAGAGAGAATGCCCTTCACAGCAAGGCAGCATTTATTAAGTGTGGCTGCAAGGCACCCTGAATACAATGGAGACCATGGGAATCAGGAGAAGGACTCCCTACTAGTTGGCGTTGTATTTAACACAAAGGAAGATGGTATTGCTGTTGGCATCTGCTCATCTCAGCCCCAGGTCTCGACAGGATCCAACTACGTTCAGCTTTTTATCTCAGTGAGCTTCTCAAACACAAGATGTTTGATAATGTGACATTGTTGTTTAAGAAAGGGGTAACCCAGCAAACTACAGATCTGTCAGTTTGATATCAATAGTGGGAAAACTGAAGCTGGCCATAATTTGGGATAAGATGAATATTCACTTTGAAAAAAAAGTCAATACTGGACAATCAACATTACTTTGCCAAGGTCAGGTCATGTTTGAGAAAGCTGAGTGAACTCTTTGATAAGTGACATTGACAGTAGATGAAGGAGTGCTGCAAATATTGCATGTTTGGACTTTCAGAAGCATTTGATATGGCACCGTGTGGCAAGTTGGGTAGCAAATCAGGAATATTTGGGATTGATGGATCTCTGGCAGCATGGATTAGCAGTTAGGAAAAGATAGGAAACAGAGGGTATGTGTCGATGGGCATTTCTCAGATTGGAGACAATCTGAAGTGGTGTTCCCCAGGGATCGGTTTTGGGACCCTCACTTTTTCTGATTTAGATAAACAATTTGGAGCTAGGTGTTGAGGGCAAAATCCCTAAATTTGCAGATGACATTGGTTAGGGAGAATAACAAATTGTGGTGATGCTGCTGAGCAACTACGATGCTGCTGAGCAACTTCGGAGGAGCATTAATACAGTAAAACTCCCCCAACAGACCACACTGGGAACACAGTGCATAGTCACCAACTCCATCTCACCTGGATGGACTGCACTTTAAACAAGTGTACAGTTCCTCTCTTCGTCTACAATACTTCGACCACACTGGGAGCACCACCCTCAGTTTGTGCCTCCATTTACCCTTCCAACCAACACTATGAGAGCACAGTGCCTAACTCAATATCGCCAACAAACTACACTGGGAGCACAGTGTTCAATACCTGCCACATTCTCCTTTTTCTGACTACGCTGGCAGTACAGTGCAGTCTCTGCTTCCATCGACATTGTTTGGACGGCACTGGGAACACAGTGTACAGTTTCTGCCTGCATCTTCCTTAGCAGACCACACTGACAGCACAGTGATCAGCTTCTGATGAAGAGTCATCCAGACTCGAAACATTAGCTTGCTCTCTCTCTCTCCCCGTGGATGCCGCCTGACCCGCTGTGATCTCCAGCATTTGTTGTTTTCAGTACAGATTCCAGCATCTGCAGTGATTTGCTCCTATTCTGCACATTCTCCCCTGTTCCGACCTCACTGGGAGCACTGTGCATTGTGCCTGCCTCCATCTCCCCGAACGGATCACATTGGGAGCACGGTACTCATCTCTTGCCTGCATCTGGTCTGTTATTGTTTTCCTTTCAGGTGCGACCTTTGGTTGTGACAGAATTCGAGCAGAGACCTGTTGACAAAGGCCTTGTCAGAGCAATGAGGACTCGGTCCGCCCTAAGTGTTTCTGGTTTTATAAATGTTACTTCGTCAAAATATTATTGAAGGGAAATTTGTCACTGTCAACCGAAACGTCACCACTCCAGCACCAGCTCCAGTTCCTGACCGACGGCCCCAGGCTTCTGACCAGAAAGCCCACAGCTCTCTTTGAATTATATGAATAAAACCCACTTTATTTCGCTCCGCCTGGTCGCAGCATCTTGTTGTGATCCTCTGACAGCACAGTGTTCCGTCAGCACTGATCCTCCGACAGCGCAGCACTCAGCGCTGACCCTCCGACAATAAGGAGCTCCCTCAACACTGACCCTCGGACAGCGCAGAACTCCCTCAACACTG